GCCCCTCCAGATGTCCAACTTGAGTTGATAGACATCCAGTGCAGTGATGAATTGAAATCACAGTTCAAAAATTCTAATCTCCTCACATTCTACAAAGAACTGCCAGATACATCATTTCCAAAACTGAAAGACAATGCTCGATTTTGTGCAAGCATGTTTGGCAGTACCTATGTATGCAAATAAGCGTTTTCGCTTATGAATTTAAACAAGTGCAAAACACGGAACAGGTTAACCAAAGAGAATTTGGAAAATCTGCTGGTTGTTTCAACATCTGCCATTACACCAGACATCAAGAAGATTACCACCAGCATCCAATCTCAGCCATCGCATTAATCGCTTGGAGGTCCGGCCCCCAGTCAGTAAACTTAATCCTAATTTGGCCCTTCTTCACAAAAGGTTGTGCATCCCTGTAATTAGTGTGTGAAATATATCTAGTTTTTCATGTTGTTTACAAAAAAGGAAGACAAAGCTGTCACTTTTGTGTTGAAAGGAGAAATTAACTTCCTTTCCCAGGACCTTATCTCCAAACTGAACTAACCATCTGGATATCTATCCCCCTCTACAACCCATTTACAAACAAAAATCTTTAATCTATTGGTCAGAAATTATGATAAAAGGGGAGACTTCACGCCATTCAAGGCAGTCCACAAGATTTTGGAGTTGCCATATCAGACAGGCAGTCCATAGAAACCTGACATTGCCATACAGATGGCAAATCTCGATTAATTTGAACATGCCAAATAAACGATAGGCAGTCAACAGAAATATGACATTGCCATAGAAGTCATTCAACAATCCCAAGAACCTGCCAAAAGAATAGATTTCTTGTAAAATCTCACTTGTGCATTCTCTCATCCCTCCTCCATCTAAGAGCTTCGCTGAAGAAACTCCATTGTTAAAGAAGATTACCTTCTAGATCTTCAGTCAAGATAGTATGTTTAAGATATTGTAAACTCTCTCTCTCTCTCGCAAATAGGTAGGAATTTAGAATCACCTTGTATATCGATATGATATTTGTTTGTATCTTATTAAAGTTTGTTTTTGATGATTTGAATGGTCTCGTTAATGAACTCAATTCCACACCAAAGTCTTATCATGGGTCCACGACTCCTCCCTCTCAGAAAGATATATTAATTTAATCATTAGCGTGCCTAATGCTCTAATAAGAGTGGTGTCAGGAAAAACTGACAGGTAGATCAAACAAACTACCTAAATCAAATACTACAAAAATCCATCCTAGTGATCCTGTAGGTGGATCTTCCCGATCTGAGGCCGATCAGGAGTGAGAAACAAAGCTTTTGTCATCCTGACCTCCCACATAAGCATTTCTTACCTATTGGATTCCCACAAAATCATATATTTGACAAGATACCACCCGAATGATGAAAACAGTTGAGTCTGCAAACATATTGGGAAATATGACAAGAGGCTGAAACCAATATACAAAGTAATTACATGTAACAGAGGAACAGAGGCAACATACAAAACAGGCAAAAGTATACACAAATGCTGCAAAATGATAAAGATATCATAGATAGGACCAGAGTTCCAGTTTATAGCAAACCATTAAAAGATGAAAGATTTGACAAGAATTTAATTTACATTGGAGCCACAAATAGATCTCTTAGAAGCAGGATTAAAGAATACAAATATGATATTGAAACAGAAAACAAACAATAGTGCTATCCATATATGCCTCGGAACCAAAAACTGAAGCTAAATTGGAGCAAGCAGCATTGATTAAAAGTGTTTTACTAGAGAAGAAACTAAATTTTTAGAGATGTTACAGATATTTAAAACAGTCTTGAAGAGAGAGTGCATTAACATATGAGATGCAGGTATGTTATATGCTTGGAAAGCTTTTTATGATAACCCCAAAAAAGATTATTATAACAACTCAATTAACCCATGGGATGTTAATATAAAATTAAATAGAATACATTGTTTGTAAAATTTCATTAGGTAAATTTAAATTTTGTAAATTTCAAAAAACATTTGAAATTTGAATTCAAATAAAATGTAGAATGCGATAGAACAGACCTTCTAAATGGAACACATATAACTGACCTGAAGCAGGACAGTCAAGCTGTTCCAAAACATTCGTTGTTTTTAATATAATACTGGAATAAAACTAATGTAACTAAAGTGATTAACATAAAAACAGTTAATCATATTACAGATAGTCATGTGAAATTTAAGTTTAAACAATGTAAACTTCATGATACCCAATTTATATATGAAGTAAAATGATTAAAATATTATCTATTTTATCATTATACAGGATAATGTAGGGAGATGAATTAAACTTTTTGACATCTTTGATCAAGTCTTTTCAGCTTCGGATCCATTTAGATAAAGAGCTATTACTTTTCCATGTTGAAGAACAAACCATTAGTAAGATTTTACTTTCATTAAAAATTATCATCATCATCATCAATAGAAAATTTTATTTAAGACTGAAGCAGACCTGCATAATTCACCAAC